GCATCATGGATGTGCAGCCGACAAATCTGCGGCAACTGTGTGATGCCATCATGTCAATATGGACCAAGCTCTCTGAGGAATCCTTCCAGCACCTTGTTGAATCTATGCCACGAAGAATTGAGGCAGTTCTGAAGGCAAAAGGGGGTCCAACCCGTTACTAGCATGGTGTACCTAATAAAGTGGCCGGTGAGTGTATTTCATATAGCCATGGCTTTAAGAGATGGTAAGATCCAAAGGTGCTGGGTCCGCTCCTCATCATAATGCCACACTAAGATTATTATCCCTTAGCTTTTAAAGGTGAATTTTCCTGTAGAAAAGCTCAATTAAGCATGTTTCATACAACGTAGCATGATTTGAACCACGTTCCTTATCTCTACTAATATTGCGCAGGTTTTAAAAGGTTATTGAAATGCCACACAGTCCCATGCTGTTCATACAATACTGATGAACACAGTGCTGCATGTCACGGTGAGCTGTTTTCAATGTTTTGGCATCTTCCCACAGAATCAGATTGTGCTGCAGGGCCTAAAGGGCAATCTCCACCATATAGTACCCTGAAGGCTGAGCTGTCTCCTCACTCCTTACAGGCAAGTTTTTTTTTTTTTTTTCTTCGTTCCTTACCGAGAGAGAGAGAGGAGGAATCTGCCTGTTGTGTTGTTTTTCTGCCCTGTACCTCCAGGGAGCTTCGGCACAGTGTTAGTGCTTTATGAGATGCAGATTTTGTCATCAGTCTCTTCTCGCCTTGGGGCTCTCCTAAGGCTGCCCACTGATTCAGAGAATGTTATGGCAGTGTGTGTTTGGTTAGGTGTGTGTGTTTGCAGCTTCTACACATGACCAAACCTTAAGTTGTGCAAAGAGTATTTTTTTTAGGCCTGGACATATTTTAGCCTTTGGCATTATTGTGGGATTCTGTAGCTCGGTGATGGACAATCAGAGACACATGAAGTCCCATTGTGCAGCTCTCATCTGAGTTTTTCAGGGTTGTTTTTTTCCTCCCCTGCGTGGTAGCATAAGTGATGATGTAAGCCTCTTTACAGATATTTAAGTGGTAATCTCTTTTAGCGTGTGCAGACAAAAACATCAACAGCACATTATGGAGTTTGTTCCATTTCCACCACCGATTACTGTGAAAAGAGCGTCTGCCGGCAACAGAGGCACATTTATTCAAAAAGCTGTTGCGTACACAGTCGAAGCGTCGTCCCTGCTCATAATGTGCTAAAAGTTTTTCCACAGAGCTTTTAGGGTCCTCTAAAGTTTGCTCGCGGCCTTTATGATCCTGTTTTATCCAGCATGCCCTCTGTGAAGCGTGACAAACCTCCTTTTTTGTCCGTGTAATAAGTTACTCCCATAAAAAATTCAGATTGTTTCTGCTGCTGATAACCCTTGGTAGCGTTTGGCCTTTAAAATCCCAAGCATTTTCAATTACCCTGCTGCATGTCCCCTTCGTCCACTCCCTTATCGGCTCCCTCCTCTATTTCAGGCAGCCAGAGGTTGGCCAGCAGATCTGCATTTAAATGTGCACCTGGTATCTCGACCGCTGCACAATGCCATTTTACATTACATTCTACTCCCTTTTCTCCTTGCTGTGCAGGGCAACAGCACTTTGTTTACAGGTCCACCTCTGCTTTCTGAACGCGGAGAGAAATGTCAGTGAATGCTAATTGTCCGCCAATGCTCCTCTGACAGGGCGCCCCGAGTCACTCAAACAATATCCACTCAGTTGTGTCAGCTTGGTCAAAGTCATCCAGGCAAACATCAGATGGGCTTGTTTGCGGAGTATTGGCACAATATCAATGACAAAGAAAAAAAAAAATCATGAACTCATCAGCATGTTGGGCGCTCGAGCTAATCTGGGACCACTGAGATAATTAACGGTGATTGCTTTTGAGATTCAAAGCAATTAACATTTTTCTTTTTCAATAAAATACTAAGAGAAGCACACGGCAGGGAGTTAAGTTCGTTTAATTTATTAGCTTTGACAAGTTTTTATACAGAGACTAACAAGGGCAGAAGATATGAACGCTCTTCAGTCAGGGAAGTGTGCAGCAAACGCTCAAACAATGCAAATTCAATGACCTATGCAGAAGGATTCCAGTGTCCTCCAGTTAGGCGCTCAGCTAGCAGTATAATCAGGGTCTGAGAACACAGGCGTGTTGGCTACAAAGCTCCATTAGCTATTAGCAGTGAGTTTTAGCCCCAGGCAGAACCCCAGCACAGGTCTCCTGATGTAAAGAAAAATGATGCCTGACATCCTCCTCACCCCTGCTGTGTCTTTACCATTACTCCTCTTAGACTACACAGTGACTACAGTAATTCTAACATGACTTCCTGATATCATAATAAGCTGGTTTCCCCTCCGACCAATAAGGTCAGTGTGTGGTTTTGTTCTGTAATGATGCTGTGTTATTCAGCCCCCCAGCAGGCCTTAAGCACCATTAAAATATCCGGATTTGCAGGGTTTTTCTTTTGTAGTAGTTTTCTGCTTTGGAGTGTTTTTGTAATAACATGCTGACTTGTTTTCAGCGTGTTATTTCAGAGGCGGCGTACTTCTCCTAATGTGTTTTCAGCCAGGATTTGAAAATGGACAGAGAGTTGATGTTATGGATTTCTGGAGGGAGGGAGTTTCAGAGACAGGGGAGGCAGAGCGACTTAAGCCAGGATCCTATAGTGGTCAGACAGGCAGGTGGTGCAGTGAGGTGAATAGAAGAAGACCTAAGTGTGTGGGCGGGTGGTATAGAAGTTGGTTATAGATGGCCTTTAAGGTGAGGAGCAGATTCTTGCAATCAATGACTGGGAGCCAGTGAAGCTGCTGAAGGACAGGAGTGATGTGATTGATGGAGGGCAGTCTGGTAATGATGCAGGCGGAAGAGTTCTGGACCTGCTGGAGTTTATGGATGGACTTGAGACCAAAGAGAAGAGAGTCGATGTGTGATGTAGTCAGGGTGTGGACGAGGCTGCTGGTACTGTTGGGTGTGAGGGAGGGGCGGAGATGATTTATGTTGCACAGATGGAAGCGTGCAGACCGAGTGATATCATTGATGTGGGTTTGGAATGATAGTGTGCTGTCGAGGATGACACCCAGACTTAACCAGGGGGGAGAAATGTTGATCATGAGAGAGAAACTGTTTGGGTTCGTTGGAGTTGATTTAGTACCAATGAGGAAAAGCTCTGAGGAAGTTGTAGAAGAAACAGTCTTTGAATTCCTGTAGGCAGACCCTCAGTGAGAAACTTTATTCTGAAAATGTGGCCAAGAATTTTCTCATGATGTTCCCAGGAGTTCCCAGGATAATGTTTTCTCAAAATATTCTAAAAATGTTTGTTGAAAATCTCCTTTAAATGTTCAGTGACAATATTGTTAGAACGTCATGCCCCAATGTTCTTAAAAAATGTTTTGAGCGTGAAGTTTTCTTGAATGATCCTGGAAAACATTCTCTAAAAAGATTCTTAAAATGTTCTTCCAACTATAATGAAAACATTTGCTTAAAATTATGAACAGAACTTTCAGGGAATGTTCGCCAAAGTCATGGAAATGTTCCCTGCTAGCCAGGCAGACAGGGAAGAGAGTAGTATTGATGAAGTAGATTTGGTGGACAAGTAGACCTTGGTGTCATCTGTATAGCAAGATAGCAACATATGTCCAAAGGAAAGGTCCCGCCCTCCTTTGCCTCTTATTGGCTTGAAGTGCTGGGCTCCGATTGGTTATTCTTTATGGCTGTGAAACGTCATCGTCTGTCGGGTTAGGGTTAGGAGATTCAGAGTGTGATAATGTTCTGTAATGTTCTGTTGGATGTACAGAGCTGACAGCCCGCGATTGGCTTAAGCGTGTGATGATGTTTCCAGCTTTTCTAGCCAATCAGAGGCGAAGGAGGCGGGACTTTCCCCTACCATCCAACAGAAAAAAAATATCGCCTCCAGGACAGAGCCCTGTTGAACGCCAGTCACAGTAAGGGATTAGATGTGAAGGTTTTGAGTTGAATGAAATTGTCCAAAATCCACACAAGCAACACACACAATAATAAACAAAAATTCATACAGAATTATAAAATGCACAATAGGGTGACCATACGTTCTATTTTTTGGCGGGCTGTCCGGCCTTGTCCAGGGGGAGTTTATAACATCCTTCCAATGTCCGGGGTTTTGTATGGAAGTTTTGAGTTCGTGTCACATGGACTTACTGAGTTAGAAGCGTGTGAAAAACACTCAGCCCGACCAAAAAAACTCTCAAAATTTACAATGTGTGACTCCGCCCTGTGTATTTGTTTCCTCTTTTTTGGGGATTCAGAATATGGTCATCCTCAGTAAGGGATGAGATCTGAAGGTTTCGAGTTGATTGAAATTGTCCAAAAGAGGCACTTTGGTTCAGTACAGTAATTCACTCAAGCAAAACAAAAATTCATACATATTTATAAAATGCAAAACTCCCATGGATACAGTAAGATATAAGACACTAAGTCCAATATTCTTCAGCATCTTTGCAACATCAACTCACCAAACATACCTGTTTGATTTTACCCTCCAGGTGTAAGTCGACCTCCTCTCTGTTGACAGAGGTCTAAACTCTGCTGCATCAAGAGGGTGGTGAGGGTCTTCAAGGAGTCCTTGGTGTTGATCATAGAGGTCAGTTTGTCATTGTTTTCCTCAAGCGGAAACTTCTACTTGAACTTTTTAATTTCTTTATAATAAAGTCGTCCCTTTATCTACCCTCTCACTGTGTTAGTGGAAAAAGCAGGTGCATTGTTTTCTTTGTTCCTTGGATCTCACACACTCAGATGTCTACAGTCGCTTAGCAATCAGCACTCCCTCCATTATGAGCAGTAACTTTCCTCTCAGGAGACTCATGAGCACCTCTCACTCATCTCACAGCTTTGAGACCTGCTCCTCGTCCTCTTGTGGAAGCTGCATAAATTAATCCCTCTCATGTGCTGCCTTCTGAGCCGCGTTGATGCAAAACTTCAGGCTGAATAATTTATCTGTCTGCCCTTCCGAAGCCAGCGCTCGCACCGGGTGCCACCGCGCATAACTTGGAGTTCTCATCACAGACCTGAGCCCGCTGGCATCCGCTCAGACATCTGTGCCGTGTGATAAGAGCGCATATCATGGGAGGAAGACATCAGATCGTGTTTGAATTGTGGCCACCAGACGGATACACAAAGGGGAGCGAGAACTGCCTAAACAGCACAGTGGTCACCTTTTCCACATGTGCGCTGTGCTGCTGCTACTCCTGCTGCTGCTGCTGCACTTTTACTTCTTTTCTAAAGGGGATTACTTCTGCTGTGCTGCAGGATCGAGTTCAGCATTGCAAATGCAGGTTAGACTCAATTTCATGAAGTGTCCCACAGCATTGTTCCAGTTTCACCCTCACAGGTAGTTTAACAATAGTTGAAAGAATCCATACTGAGTGGGCAGAACTGCAATTTTTCTCAATAACAGAGGGTCCTCACTTTGTAGCAGAGGTGGGGGCTTTACAACTCGAGACTCGAGACTCAACTTGGACTTGAGTCCCGTTTTTGACTTGTTTGATCAAATCAAGAAATGACTTGGACTCGCTTGGGACTTGATTGCTAAAGACTTGAGACTTGACTTGACTTCCGCCCAGTGACTTGAAAAGTCAAGTCAAGTCTTTTCAAGTCACTTAAGACCTTACAGCAAGCCCAAAAAAAGTGTCGCATCAACTAACAGTCAGGAATTACGGCTGTTGGTAACACCGTGTTGTGTTGCCAAGTCTGCTTATTTCCCGCAAAAAAAATTCACTTGTTTTTGGCTTGTTTCTGGAGGTCTGTTTCCTTATTTCTCTCACGAAACTTGGCAACACTGTCTCAAACTCTAGCCTCCCTCATAACGACAACACCAGGAGGACTGAACATAAATCGCTCGCTAGTATTGTCCGCCTGTTTCCACGCGTTGCCTCGTGTCTCTCTTTTGTTTTGGAACAGTGAATTAGAGTATCAGTTTAATGTTTAATTGTATTTGAGTCTTCCTTATTTTTGTGCACATTGTCCAAGTTTCCAATTATTGAAGTTTATCTGATTATTTTTTGTATGACATGTAAAATAGTTTGGTTAAAGCTGCACTATGTAACTTAACACAAACAAGAACCCTTGTTTAATAATAAATGCAAATAGTGAAAAATGCTCATGATTTATGTAAATCTTTACAGAATTCCTAGGACTTGGTTGGGACTCGAAACAAAAAGTTCAGGGCTTGGACATGACTTGGGACGTGTCTGTGTTGACTTGGACTTGCCTCGGACTTGAGAGCAAAGACTTGAGACTCGACTTGGACTTGCAACATAGGGACTTTCCCCCACCTCTGCTTTGTAACCATAAAGATGCCACGTGTTTCTTTTTAAACCCCTAATTTTGGCCTGAAGTTTAGAATACTGGATGTGAATATATTCTTATTATTATTATTTCAAACCTGAGTTGATCATTTTCATACAAAAAAGGCAGATATTTGTTGTTTCTACACTTAAGTGTTAATCTTACTTCCATTTACACTGAATATAATTAAGAAGGCATTTGTGTCCATAACTCTGCTAATAAAACTTGACTGAGATACTGGAAAACAGACGATTTGTCCCAATTCTTCTGTTTTTTTTTCAGACAGCTTTAATCGCCATTAAAAGAGCGCAGGCTTGAGGCGCCATCAAAATCAATCCCACTTTCAAATCAAAAGCTGTACATGCGCAGCTTAAATTTACAGCTTGACCAGTTTCTGCAAATCATTACATTTTTCTTAGTGAGCAAGCATTTTTCTTTGGCTGAAAAAAAAAAAACGTTTTCATTCAGATGAATTATGTTTCAATGCAACAAGTGAGATTAAATGAGATACCTCATTCTGTCTGTGAATCTATATTCCTCTCGGTTTTGTGAGCAGAGCGCTCATTTTATCGAGCCTTATCCTGCTAATGTAAAGAGTTGGTGAGGCGTAAGAATAAACTACTCATTCTTCCACATCATGTCCATCACGATAGTTTTTTTCCTGCTCATTTCTCAAAGAGCTAATTGACAAAAAGTGATATCTTAAGCTTTGTTTACTGCTCAGCTATGAGTATAATGCTTATGAGCTAGCTAGATAATGATTACTGCTCCTGCGCATATCAAGTAGGTGATTCATTTCCCCCAGAATGAAATGTGTGTCTATCCAGGCAGCATCACTGACTCTCATTACTGTTAAAGGTGCTGATACGGATCAAAAGAGCATAAATCTGACCTCAAGAAAATGACTGAAGCTCAAATTTGACGGATTTCCTCGGATCAGAGTCTGAAAACCTCAAGTTTCAAGTCCGGTTGTTCATCACGAGAGCGAGGCAGCTCCACCCAACCTCTTACCAACCCACCAGATGATCAGCACGCTCTTGTTTCCCTGATGGAGTGCGGAGTTTCGAGGGCAGTCTTCAGATATGTTTTGCATCACTCCACAGGACAGAATGGGCGTGATGACACAGGCGACCTTTGGATCATCTATCAGCGCTGACGTCTTTCTCGTAGAATAAAAAATGTTGCATTAGCACAAATGACCTTTTTCTCATCACCACGTCCTGATTACACAATGCCATAAGGATCCACCCCCATGCTCCCTTATCGCGCCGCTCTCATGAGCGGTCACGGCATTAAAATAGGATCCCCGGAATCATAATTTAGTGCTGATTTCAATTTAAATGCCCTGCTTGGAGCATCACATCAAGTAGTGTCAAATTGAATCTGCAAAAATGGAGATTTTTCCTCCTTTCATTCGACTCTGTGTATGATGGAGATAAAGCGTACACAGTGAATGTGCAGGGAGGTGACTCACTTCTCAGTACTACACAGCACCAAGTCACATGCTTTAACACATAAAGGTCAAACCGTACGAAACAGAGCTTGGAGATAATTTTCAATTTACACTTTTAGAGTCAGCACGAATGTTACAGAAGACGTGAAAAAAACAGCTCACTCATCCTGATAAAGTGATAATTGATTTCGATGACGGGTGCAGGGTTTTGTGAAGCTGTTTGAAGTCGCTGACTCTATTAGTCATCCTCAGTTAAAACAAACTTGGTGAAAGACTTTTATCTATTTGAATCATGATTATTGTGGAGTTTTCTTTTTAATATAAGTCATATGTTGTTTCCTTTATTTGCTTGTTGGACACCTTGGCAAAAATCTGAGTTTTGATTGATTTCAGTGTGAAAAATATAAAACTAATAAAGTCTATAGACGGGTTTCTTGTGTACAAAAATCTCTTTGTCTTTCATTGCATCAAAATCATAAAAACACTTGCTGAAGTGTCCATGAATTCCACTCAATTTACCAGGTTGTGACGTTGTTTTAGATGTGTCTAATATCAGGAGCAGGTCGTAAAGTTTGCCGATTGTTTGTTTTGCCGATTGATTGTTTTGCCTGCAGTTTACATCACAACAGCTCCTTGTCATTTTCTTTCTCCGTTGACTCCACGAGTAAACAAATAAGAAATGTCCGGCTTTCTGACCCAAGGCTGCGTGTGTATACCTGCGATGACGTTGCACAGAAACCCGTCTATAGATTGAAACTAAAGGAGGTTTTCATTAACTTATGACCAGTTACTTCAGAGTAAATCAAAAGTAATCAAATAGTAGTTGGGTTCATGCTACTAAAGTAGTGAGGTCTTAGTATTACAGTATAACTGAGACTCACAGACGCAGATGAATGAGTGAATGACAGCAAACCAAGACATGTTAGCATTTCATTTCTCTCCTTGTGGCTCAGTTTTGGTCCCCCGACTCTTTAGGAGGTATCCTTTGCCTTTGCTGCCACTCTGTTGACAGCTTGTTGCTTATGTCATCTGGGGTTTGGTGCTTTAAAATTTGTAAATAAAATAGACTGTCACTTAAATTGCACTTTTCCAGTCTGCTGACCTCTAAAAGTGCTTTCACACATTCACAAAGGATGATATTTGAAGCTGCCATCAATACTGACCGATCCCTTTCATGCACATCTACACACCTTTGCCACTGGGGAGTAATTTTGGTTAAGTGTCTCGATCAAGGACACGTTGACATGCACCCACAAGCATCTGCATCCATTTATTACCTCGCTTTCCTACTGATCAAAAAGAGTAAAGCCGGGGGCAAACTCTTCACGTCATATCTGGTTAATCCATCAACAAGGGTCTGACACATTTATGGTTTCTGCAGGTGACGACGTGGCATCAACACGAGTGTTTATTATCACTCTTAATTCATTCGGAGAGGACTGAAGATGTCCGGACAATGGCAGCAGAGAAAAAGGAAACAGGACAGGAACTTGGAGAAGATCGTGGTGACTCTAAACTTCGGAAGAATCCAAATTCAAGTGAGGCCCGCACTACACGTATATAGATATTTATTTATCAGGATATTTTTGTACTCCCGTCTAAATAAATGTATCTGTCCACACATGTTAGTTCTCAAAAATATCTGCGTCCACACGTAGCCTTCAAACTCAATCCTAACTGGTGCCGCTTTAAAAAATTCAGGAACAAAGCTACCAGATTGGCCGATGAATCGTAACAGCGTGATGCGTCATGCATTGTTTGCAGAAGCTACGCTAGTGCGTCGAATGTGACGGTGTGGCGGCTATAACAAAGCAGACACCTCTGTGAGCTGGCTGGATGTAATTATATAAAACAAGGTTCACTTGCAAGGCTGAAATTAGCCGAAAAAGGGCAAAACAAACGTAAAGAATACCCTGTATGTCCGCCATTGTTGTTGTTGTTTTTCGATCCGTAAAAGTTCAACCACACGAATCCACCTATACGGATTTTATATACAGATTTTTTTATTTCTCCACTTGTTTTTTCGGATTCAGATTTATCAGAATTTGAGTGTTTTAAACTCCCGTTTTGGTGTGGTAGGGAGGCCTAATCGGACATAAATATGTGCGGTTTGAAATACAACCGCATTTGTGTAGTTGGGGCCTGAGATGAGTAAGTAAACCTACTTACTAACTCCACTCTTGTAAGTACATAATAGTTTGATGGTCGTGCTTCAATTGGCTGAGTATCTAAAAATTCAGTCGATAATTTCCACCTCCTCTCTCCACTTCTGGTTTTGATGTCACACAACAGCCTTGAAGGGCAGGACACAGGCATTAAGACGACACACAGCACCAAACAATTAGACCCTTTTGATTCTACACTAGACATAGGTTTACAGATAAAGAAGCTGTAAATCCTCCAATCTATCAGGAAAAACTACCCCCCTAGTGTTGACATACTTCACAGAGAGACTGAGCCTTCGTCTCTGTGTGAGTTGGCTGGAAATCATTTGAGAAATGTTCTGATGCCGAGTGTTTGACAAGTACCGCTGATCCCTGGTTCCACATAATGGGTTGTGGTTTTTCAGTTCCTCGACAAAATCCGCCCCTCAGCCTCTTGACTTCACTGTTTACTCAGACAAAAGGCTGACAACGTGAGCAGTGCAATTGGTTCTACCTTGTTTGTTTCAGTCACGCCTGCTGCGATGCTAACTCTGCAGTGGGAATTTAATGTGAGATGATATTTATCCAGCCGGTCAAACGGATTTAAAATCTGCCTTAAAAAACCAAGGACCGTGCCATGCTCCATGACACAGCGTTCATTCTCTTTTGTTTTTTGGGCACGACTTCGTTCTGTGCAGCTGCAGCGGTTTCATTTTGCCACGTCTTTGGAGAACAAAGCAGCGAGCCCGAGCCTGATTTGCTCTCAGAGGACCAAACTCACTGCTGGATGAAAAAAGAAAAAAGAAAGAAAAAAAAAAAAACAGCACCGGAGTTTCCCAGAATCTAAAACTACGGACCATTAAGTGTACAAACTGGCGATAGATGTCATACAGTAGAAGTACTCTTGGGGTTTTGTGGACTGTAACAATGTCTGTCAGTCCACCACTGTGAGTGCACAAATTAGATTTTTCTTTTCAAGTTCCCTCTTTGAGCCCATCTCCTCCTCCAGCGCCGTAAAACCCGTCTCCTGGAAATTACAACCATGCAAAAACAGAACAACAAATAAAAGGAGATGGAGAAGTCACAAAAACTTTGTATTGGGTGTAGTTAGTTCACTCAGCTTGATATGTACCTACAGCACTTTTATAAGCACTCTGGCTCCACTGGTAGTAACTTCACTGTTTTAAATTTTTAATGCGATGTTAAATAGTGCAAAGGACTCGAGCAGGAGAGAGCATGTGAACTCAGAGTGAAGCCATCCAGTTTGTCTGTGAGGGAGAGGAATATATACGGGACACCAAAAGGCTGCAAATGTTTGGGGAGATGCAGGCGGATTTAGGAGGAAAACTTGATAGTCTGCACCAACCTGAGGCCTGACACAGTGCTTTGGTGAGTCAGTCAGTGGAGAGTTTGTTTCATTGAACTGAAAGTGCCCTGGGAGGACTCAGAGGAGGAGGCTTTTGAGAGGAGAAAAGCTCAGAAATTCAGGGTTGAAAGCAGACACTGAGCAGCGAGGGTGGAGAGTTAAGGTTTGTCCGGTTGGAAGAAGGTTTTTGTACGACGATCAAGTATCTCATTACTGGGAGGACTGGAAGTGAGTGCACAAAAACTGGTAAAGTTGGTGGAGTAGATGTCAGGCAGAGGAGTAAAAACAAGTGAAGTCAGTCGCGGGCCAAAAACAAAGTGAGAGAAAACTGTTCATCTTAGTTTTTCATGATCTCTTCTAGCTTCTCTTACCCTCATGCAAATAAGGGTCCCAGCGTGTTCGATTCATCCAGCCAAACCTGGCAAAGGGAGACGGTGTGAATTTTATACTTGATTTCTGGATATTCTGTATATTCTCCATGAACTTTTATATTCTCTTTGCTGTTTGTGTGAGCAGTTAGTCTTTAAATATCAGTATTTTCTTCTGCTTATCATAAAGCACTGTCATATAAGCATATAAAAGTGTATAAAGGCTAAAGCAAATGACCACAGAACCGACCACATCTCAAGTTCAAGACTATCTTCTAGCCTCCATTCATTATAGGAGATGTTCATGTTTGCTCTCCTTCTGTTCAACAGTATCTAAAGCTCCTGTGAGGAACTTTCTGTTTGTCGATTTTGGCGCTCGCTGTTGATAAAGTAGTTTTCGAGTGAAAGGTGCACATATCCTAACCTTGGATGAGCTCTTGTCCAAACAGGCTCCTCGCCCTGGCTCAGCCTTCTCTATCCTCTCTTTAGCGTCTCTCTACATCCTCTCTTCTACGTTTTCTCTTTTCTTCTTTACGTTGGT